TATGTCTCCGTATAAAGCCTGTATTCTCAAACACAGTTAATACTTGTGCACACTCTATCCCAATAGGAAGACTGGGTTTATAGCCCATGGACTTCACATAAGCTCAGAATCCAAGACTGAACACTAGCCAGACACCTGCTCTGCCCTCATTCCCTAGGGGACAGTTCCTTCTTTGCTTCATTCTCCTTGTTCCCCTACTCCCTTCTACCTGCTAGGCTCCCAAGACCGAGGGCCCAGACAGCTTAGTTAAGAAGGAAATCACTGTGCCTCCAAAATTTGTTTTGGGCTTTCTATATTGCTCCTGACCCTGGCTGTGTACTATCTGGGTCCTTTTCAGAGTGAGCTTCGCTGCTACAAGGGAAGATGGCCTCTGGGGAGCCCCAGTAGGTGGAGCCTGGATTTACTTCTTGCCCTTCCCCAATTTAATCCTTCTAATTTCCCACAGTACAAAACCAAATTTCACTCTCAGGAGGAAATCACAGAATCACATGATTCTGTCTTTACCTTGCCCCTGAGCAGTGTCTGTGCTAGGGAAAATTCCTGTCCTATATCCGGCCTCGGCCTGTCAAGGTAGCCACCCCACAAACACACTGTGTGTCCTGGTGCTTTCTGCTACTGGAGGGGCAGAGTAGCCGGGGCGTGGCCCTGCCCATCTTCCCAGCAGGGTCACTCCCAGGAGCTTCATGCTTTGTCACTGCCTGCAGAGGTCTGTGCTGAGGCCTTAGCATTCATTCGTATCTCTTGTTCTGAGCTGAAATGCTGCATTTAATTTTTAACCAAATCATGTCTCCTGTCCTGGCTTTTGTATTCTGCCCTCACCCCCTTCCTAAACAAGATTTTAAAGATATGTGTTTGTTCATTGTAATTTTGAAAGAGCCTTTTTATCCTTTTGAAATTGTCCTAAGAATTGGTGCTTGCCTCCCAGGAATGTTTAAGAGAAAGGCAGTCCTGTCTGAAAGGCACTTCCTACCTAAGGGAGATTGGTACTTGCAGACTGGAATTCTGGCACTGTTGGGAATGAATCAATGAGAAATAGTCCTCAGTATGTTCCTACCTCCTGTAACCAAGACCCTGTATCCTCTCCTCCCTCCCAAGTATGAGTGTCCAAGAGAATAATGGGTATAATATTTAATTATCACCATAAATTTCCTATTAGCAAAGTGAGAGAAGAACTTTTCCTTTTTTGCACTTATCACTGCTGTCTAAGCATTGCCCAGCACATGAAATCTTATTTCTTCCCAAAGCCAGAACTGGATGAGTAAAGGAGTAAGAACCCTTGCCTGAATGTCCTTTCTTCTCACCTCCAATATATGTTAAATCTCAACATCGAATGTGTAAAACTTAAGTTGGTACTGTACACTCAGGCTTCCTCTATTTTCTTTTAACTGATGAATATTATTTTTAAGGCCCTCAGCATATTTGTAGTTGCTTACCTGATATAAATGCAATATTAATGCCTTTAAAGTATGAATCTATGCCAAAGATCACCTTTTGTTTTACGAAAGATTACTTAGAGGAAATAAGAAGAATTATGTTTGCTCTCCAAGTTCTTCCAGTGTTTTGAGACACTGGTTTACACTTTATGCCAATGTGCTTTTCTCTTAATATCAGCGCTCAAGACACAGTGAAGCAAGTTAAAAAAAAAAAAAAATCCCTGAAGACTGATTAGAGACATCACCACTAAAAAACTACATTTATAAGCTAGGATTTGTTATATGCAAATATTTTCTGCCTCTTCTTTTGTTCTGTTTAAAACAATAAAGTGCATTTGTATAAACAATGATTTAAATGATGGATATATTATTTTAGCAAAAACGTTTAGACCAGCTTTCTCCTTTGTTTTGAAAAATAGCCAATGAAACTAATCTTCAGGATTTGGCAACTAAAGACTTTTATTTAATCCAAATGTACTGGATGAACAACATACTACTGTATAGCAGTAGTATATTTACTTAACAAAGATCTGCATAATAAAGGACAGGTTTGGGATTATACACTAGAAGGAGGTGACAAAGGTTAACAATAGAAAGAAAGCAGCCAGTTGATGTGGATCATCCAGTAGTCTGTCTTCATCTAGCTACTGTGGAGACCATCGCCTCTAAGAAGCTGAAGCTGTTACATGTGCAGGAATATCACATGCCTATTTTTCGAATTTCAAAGCCCAATACAGAACAACAGGGCTGTCAGGGATCCACCAGGGCTATAAGGCAGATAGCTAGCTTTTGGGGACATTCTCCTTTTGCTTGAGGAAGCACTGACTATAAGTAGGAACAGGTACTTGGGAGCAGAGTGGGCACATCACTGTTTTTGCCTGGTTTTCTAGATCCGAAAGGGGAGTGTGAAAGGGGGATAGTGCTGCAGACTACACCTATTGCCGATTTAGAAGCGTTGCTGACTAGGGAGGCAGATTCCAGACTCCTGGAGTTGAAGAGAAATATCCAAGGCTACAGAATTAGCTCAGCATCTGAAAACAGTATTCATGGTCTAATTTTTGTTACTCACCATATGTTCACTGGTGCTGCCTTCCTGCTGCATCATATTTTAGTTGTTTTCTCAAATCAGAGGACTCTAAGGACAGTGAGACCAGCATCTTCCAAAGGTTCTTCTGTAGCACCACTTTAGGAATGAACCCATCACATGAATACTCTTTGAATAAATGAGAGTAACTTCCTTATACAGAGAATGAGCATCTAACTTCATTTGCTCTTAGGATTTATAAAATGGGGCAATTCTGGGATTAGCTGGATTTCTGTGTTTGAAAAATATTCTACTAAGTATTCATGGATCTTTGTTACTTATTAGTAGTTGGTGCTGGTGGTGGTGGTAGGGAGAGTAGCTTTGATCACTTATTGCTCAGTCTCTGGCCATAGGGTGATGCTTAGAGAAAGTACACATGGCTGTTAACATACTGAGGTTAAGAGACGAGCACCTGGAAGTGCTCTGCAGCAACCCATACACCTTATGTGATGATACAGAACAAAATCTGATCATGTTTAACCTGCTCTGATACTGAGGCATGCCCATCTGAGAATGCTCAATCAACAGTCAAGTTAAAAAAAATCAATTTGTTGCTTCATCTTTTTATTGACAGTAAAGCCAGGTTAGATAAAGGACTTACTGGATTCAAATTAATAAATACAATAATTTAATTATAAAAGGAAACAGTCTACTTGGAAGTTTTAGCAGAAATTGCTAAAGACAAGGGACTCTTGGCATATAATCTGTTTATATATGAGAAGATAGCACAGAAAGAAAACTGGACATTCGCGATATGGATGGTTGAGATTAGGGATTCTGCAGAAAGAAAAGCCAAGGTACTGACTGCTCTTTTAAGATAGGGCATTAAAAGACATTAAAAATGAAAAGCAACTGAACTGGGTAATTAACCTCAGGCAAAGGGAATAAATATTTGGCAACACCCTGATTTTAGCTGCCAAACTGATATCGGTTACCTAGGAAATTCCAAATTTGCAAAAAGTGCCATTTCCTATTAGATGAAAGGCAGGCTGGGTACCCTAGGCAGGCAAAGGTAAGAATGCTGCTGTATGGTGGGCTCTGTGTACCAGCATCAACCACTAGCCCTTGATAGCACAATGTGATGAATTTAAGGGTCATTCTTAGCATGATACAGAAAAGGCAGTTATAAGCAGAGACGAATGAAGAGAATGGAGTCACAAGGAGAAGAAAACTAATACCATAAGCAAGAACATGTGGGAACCATGATGAACAAGCACTTACATCTTTCAGCCTATCTCCATTCTTCGTATCTCATGAGGCAAAACAACTGGGCAAGGACTTCAAAGCCAATGAAGTTGAGTGAAGTGATACAACTACAGACTGACTTGCCAACCATGAGGATCAATATGGTTTCATCAGTGTTGGTGAAGGTTTTGTTTCTGCCTCAATATAATGCACATCCAAGTATTTTGTCAGTACAGTAGAGACATTCAAGTAATAATTCTGAACAGCTTCAGGAAAGAACCTACTACCATAACCTTGGGAAGCACACAATATTCAAGGGGGTTCCCCTTGAAGACAAGGGATGCAGGTAAATTCAAAGACCTTAAGAACAATAAAAAAGATAAAAGGTTTAAAAGACTGACGACAGTGAAGCAGGCACATTTTCCTCCTTTTGCTGAACTAGGGCTTGAGGCCTTTAGGCTAACTATGGTTTAAGCGGTGTTGACAAGTTTTATAGAACACGAAGGTGGCAAAGGTTCACTGAAGTTTCTCTTTTAATGCTTAAATTTGCTTCAAATCTCAAATGCTTGTGCTTGCAATAACTTCCTAAAAGCAGAAGTAGTGTTCCCTTTTATGACCTTAATAAAGCATTTGCCCCTTTGATACAAATCATTTTTACTATGCTATCTAAATGGCTGAACCAGTGGCACAAAACTGAGATGGTACATATGCAGCAAGGTCCCTGTAAATCAAAATCTGAGCTTTACATAAAAATCTTATTTATAAAAAATACAATACCAAGTATAGTGAGAATGAAGCATGGAGCAGTAGTGCCCCCTGCCAGGGCCATGTGGAAGTGGCTTCTGCTACAGTGCTTGCTTAATGGCACAAGTGAAAAGCTGAATAAGGCAAACACTTGAAGAGGCAGTTTTCTGTAAACTTCTTGGGGGTGGGGAGATTTCCTCTGTTGGGACAGTTGCTGATTTGGGATGGCTAAAATCAGGTGTGACATTTGGCTGCACTTGATGCATCACATTACAGATTAAGACAGCTCCTGCTGGCTGAGACCAGTTCACTTGTTTTAGGGAACAGGTGATCACTGTAGACTTTTGCCTTTACTGTTACAACGTGCAGCCTCCAGCTGATGCCCCCCATGAAGGAAATCACCTCCAGAATCTTCCTAACTGAAATGATACAAAATAAGCTAAGTAATTCAAAGTTTCCTTAGCTTAAAGCTCCTTAAGAACCCTACATTGATTACTAAGCAACTTCGTTAGCGGTGTGTAGCTCAACAGGGATGCTTTAACTACAATATGTATTCCCACCCACTTGGTACCTAACAGTAATAAACTATAATGACACTAGGAAAACAAACAGATCTTGAGGAATTTTGGCTTCTTCTCATGTCCTCACTTGGAACTTTCCAGCTTTCGTGACATATTTGACTCCTTTAAATGGCTTATATTTCTCCCCATACATGTCCAAACGGTTTACTTTTAAGCCTGTGTCAAAAAGAATAGGTAAGGAAAGGAACAAATTATTATCCTGGTCACACCAACCAACAATATTTGTTTAGCAATGAATACTACACAGTAAATCTGACATTAACCAAGAGTCCCTTTTATCATTTGGAAGCAATCTCCTTTCTACTGTTCATAAATTATAGCACTGTGGAAGGATGGTTTTAGTTTAGATTCCCATGTGGGCAAGGGATGTCTTTTCAAGATGATTCTTTCTGTGAGTATGAATGACTCCTTCTTTTGTGCTGGGAAGGGGGTCTGGTGAAGGAAGTTAAAGTGCTCTCCAAAATCACTGTACCTGAGAGGAGGCCCCATAGCACAGTGTGAAAGGCAGGCTGGAGTTCTTTTTAGAGAGGGAATGTTAGTAGCCTTCTAAGCAAAATTCAGTTAACCCTTCAACACAAAACTTATCCTTACCAGAAATAGCAAGTTGCTGGATCTTGAATTGTATGTTGAGACTTGGATTCTCTTCCGGCTTGGGTGCTCCAGACTGTAAATTTACCAGTCCTTTAAGACTTGGGAGCTTTTGTGGAGTAATTTTTCCCACATCCCATGTTAGTACCTTAAAAAGACATAACAACCAAATACAACCTGAACTATTTACTAAAGACAAATGTTTAGAGACAAGGTTCAAAGACACCATAACTTTCTGTACAGAATGGAGCACAGTGTCTTGGAAACAAGAGACCTGGGATCTTCTGTGACTCTGAATGGTGAGCACAGAGAACCAACATTTGTAGACCATCTACTTTTGGATACAGAATTGTGCTTAGCACTATTCACACATTATCTCAAAGAAGCCTGGGGGCGCCTGGGTGGTTCAGGTGGTTAAGCATCCAACTTCAGCTCAGGTCATGATCTCATGGTTTGTGGGTTTGAGCCTTGTGTAGGGCTCTGTGCTGACAGCTCAGAGCCTGGAGCCTACTTCCAAGTCTGTGTCTCCCTCTCTCTCTATCCCTCCCCCACTCGCTCTTGCTCTCAAAAATAAACATTAAAAAAAAAAAGCCTGTGATGCAGATTTTATCTTCTTTTTATCAATAAGGAAACTGAGGCTCAGGGGTCAAATGACTTGCTCAGGGTCACATAGCTAGTTTAGAGGCAAAATTGGGATTTGAAGGGGCGCCTGGGTGGCTCAGTCGGTTGAGTGGCCGACTTCGGCTCAGGCCATGATCTCGCGGTCTGTGAGTTCGAGCCCCGCCTCGGGCTCTGTGCTGACAGCTCAGAGCCTGGAGCCTGTTTCAGATTCTGTGTCTCCCTCCCTCTCTCTCTGACCCTCCCCCGTTCATGCTCTGTCTCTCTCTGTCTCAAAAATAAATAAATGTTAAAAAAAAAAAATTGGGATTTGAACCTAAGACTGATTTCAAATGTTGTTTCTACTATATTGCCTTCACTGTGTCTCTGGGCCTCAGTTTACTCTTCTTGTAAAATGAGAAAATGGACCTAAACTGGTGTTCTTTAAACTTTTAGCTTTCTTTGTTCAAATGAAATCTTTAGTGTGGAAGCTCAGTAACAGTCAAGAAAGTGAAGCTGTTATGGCTGAAGCCAAGGTGAAGGGCCAGGGATCTGGAGCTCCCCCTTCATTGCTCAGCCCTGTGTAGTATCCGGGGAGGTTCTTCAAATCCTTAGGACTGGATTGGATGATGATTTCATTCAAAAATATGCCTTTTCACTTATCAGGCAGTACAATAACTGCCACTGAAAAGAATCATATTTTTTACCCAAGCAGGAAGCTGAGAGAAAATCATCTTTTATAGTTTCTCTGAAAACCCTCTGCTAGAGGCACATTTATGTATAGTGAGGAAGCAGCTTTCCTAGCCAGTACCCACTGTGGAAAAGTGTGAAACAGTGCTTTTAAATGAAAAAGAAAGGTCTTACTGATCAATTTCTACAGAAAATTTAACAATAGACTACAATACTATCTTCTTATATCCAGGTAATGCTTCTCTCTTTTTAAAAAGCTTTTTATATCTTCTTCCTCATTAGCGAGTGGGTCTCTAGATGATCAGTGGATGAGAAAAAGACACACTCTGAGGGAGAACAGAATGAGTCTCAGTTTTCTGTTCATCTCCTCAGCAGCAGATGTGGGTTCCCTCCACAGCCAGGGGCAGGCGCATAGCACAGTATGCTCTCTAGGTTTTGTTAGGAATTTTAGTTTTAACCAAGACATTAAACCCTTCCTTCTGCCCTCCCTGCCATTACTCTTGCTTACAGAAACTGCAGAAACACTTGCTTACTCTTGATGAGAGGTGGCCATACCTTGGTAACTGGATCAAATGTATAGCTGCCTTGTGTTGGTGTCAGGTTCATATTCAGTACAACTTTTGGCATGTGAACTGTTACTGTGATTCCTTCAATAGTTTTCCCCATATTCTGCTTTGGTCCAATTGTAATATCGAATCTTCCACAAGAACTGTTCTCCTTAAAGCTGATGCAATGTTTCACATACACTGGTATTGCCACTAGACTGAAAAGAGAAAGACAGACTCAACCACAAACATGATTAATGGTGTGAGACAGTTCTAGAGGTAGCCTGAAAACCTCAGTCCAGAGTGTCCTACCCTGCCTTTGACTCCACTATGGGACCATATACCCCCAGAAGTGGAGATTTAGCATCTGTACCAGGGGGTTTGAGTACATCAGGGTTCCAGCATCACTGCACTAAGACTCATACAATTTCTGAGCAATACATATACAAGTCAAGATAGTATAAACAATTGGGGCAAATAGCCCTAGTTTAAAGAAATGAATTAAGATACCATAGAAAAGATAATTTAAAATTATACTAAATAAAATAGTCCCTATGTGGTAAGAGCCAAGAAACAACTCCTCTGCTTTTAAGTCCCGTCTAATATTACCCGTATACCTTCTGATATTTTCCAGGGACAAACCAGGTACAACCCATAATGCTAATTCATTCATTTGAACCTCAGTACACAAAAGAGTGTCCTGAAGCCAGTTAGTTGGGAGATACCCTGGGAAGCTGGAGATATGTGTGTCCTTTAGTTATGAAGCCTAAAGACCACAGTAAAATTATGGCATGGATTCAAGGTTTTGCCCAGGTTACACAATTCCAAAATGCTTGTTCTCAGGTATATATTTTACTACTCTCATTTACTACTATTTCATACTCTCAGATTCAAGGTACACTGATTATATTAGATACATATTTTCACCAGTTCTTCCTGAGTCTCCTGCTGGGCCATGGCTAAAGGGAGCAGTGATGAATTCAAGTATTCAACTGTCAAAATGGAAAAGGTAAAGTGAATTCTACCCATCACACTGATCTATGATGGTAGATTTCTGGTTAATGCACCGACATACTTTTGTGAGCTGACACGATATGATATGAGTCGGAAATTTCCATCTGGAGGAATAAATGACAAAACTCTTTCAGATTCCCAACGCTTGAACCGGATGCAGGGGTGGAAGCTGACATCATCTAGAAGCCGTGGGTTCTGCCAGGAAAACAAGATAGCAATATTCATAGAGTGCAGTGAATATGGCAACTCTACTCAGATATGAGAAATTAATAGACTCCCTAAAGATAAAAGAGTCATGTTAAGAGTTGGTTACTATGACCACATTAACACAATCTTAATGGATATTATTTTATTTGAATTTCAATAACTATTAAGTAGAAAATACAAGTAGTATCATGTCCATTTTATAAATGAAACTGAGGTTTGAAGAAGTCAAGGTCAGGACAAGACAGCATCAGAACTCTTGTTCTCTTGATTTTCTTAGTAGTGTATCATGCTGAGTCTAAAATGATGAAAAAGATCAATGCCCTTTCATCAGCAAAACAAATAATTCGGTTAAGTGAGACTACACATTTGCAGAAGCCAGCCAGCCACTTAAGCCACTTCTGGCAAACTCAGGAAAAGACCTCAGCCTGTTCATAAAGGCCATGCTCATCATGTAAAACACTGTCTTGGGAAGCTGTACTAAGAATACTACTGAGATAATCCTTATAATCTAAGATACAAACATCTCTCAGTATTTATCATTTCATTTAGTACTTCATATGTATTAGGCATGCAAAGAACTACAGGGCAGGAGAACTTACCATGAAAGAAAGAGAAAGGTCAGGCATTCCAGATAGCTTAATGCAAGCATCAATAACCCCCTGAATTTCTGCAAAGACTGTAGATCCTGAGGAAAGAAATAAAGTGATAACATCACTGGAATCTGAGTCTTTACTAGAGCTATCACTGTATCTGAAGTAATGGAGACACCTCCTGAGTGTCAGACATAATGAAACTTGCACATCTTCTAACAAGTTAGTGGACAGAGGATCTATTACACCAGATACAACAACTTCTTCACTAAGTGCCATGGCCCACATCTAACTCTGGTAGGTAATTCTAAGGAATATCAAACCTGACTCTATCTTGATAGTGAACCTTGAAAGACTGCTGGATATGAAGTTAAAAATTAAAAAAAAATTTTTTTCACGTTTATTCATTTTTGAGAGACAGAGCACGAGTGGGGGAGGGGCAGAGAGAGAGAGGGAGACACAGGATCTGAAGCAGACTCTAGGCTCCGAGCTGTCAGCACAGAGCCCAATGTGGGGCTCGAATCAACGAACCGCGAGATCATGACCTGAGCCAAAGTCGGATGCTTAACCAACTGAGCCATTCAGGTGGCCCTGAAATTAAATTTTTTTTTTTTAATTTTTTTTTTCAACGTTTATTTATTTTTTTTGGGACAGAGAGAGAGCATGAACGGGGGAGGGGCAGAGAGAGAGGGAGACACAGAATCGGAAGCAGGCTCCAGGCTCCGAGCCATCAGCCCAGAGCCCGACGTGGGGCTCGAACTCACGGACCGCGAGATCGTGACCTGGCTGAAGTCGGACGCTCAACCGACTGCGCCACCCAGGCGCCCCTGAAATTAAAGATTTTTAATGGAATTTACAAATGAGGCAAGTTTCTCATGAAATGGACTAAACTGTTAACTTTAAGAAATAGGCATTATTCTGTAATAATACAGTTATTATTCTGTAGGATAGAATTTTATAATGAAAAAGAGCACTCACTAAAGAAAAGATATTGGCTGTAATTCGTAATAACTCATTTTCACACGGCAACTAGCTGTGTGACCTTAAGCAGATTACTAAGCTCTTCTGAGCTTCAGTTTCCTTATGTATAAAATGTGAGGGTTGGACTAGATGTTTTAAATAAAACTTTATGATTCTAAGACAGTACTGCTGTTTTTTGGGGGGTTGTTATTAGAAGTACTGCATATAGGGGCAGCTGAGTGGCTTAGTCGGTTAAGTGTCTGACTTTGGCCCAGGTCATGATCTCACGGCTCAAGAGTTCAAGCCCCGTGCTGGGCTCTGTGCTGACAGCTCAGAGCCTGAAACTGCTACGGATTCTGTGTCTCTCTTTCTCTCTGCCCCTCCCTGGCTGGTGCTCTGTTGCTCCCTCTCAAAAATGAATAAACATTAAAAAAAATTATACATAAAAAAAAGAAGTACTGCATATTAAAGTGGTAGCAAAAGTATGGTGTATGGTAGATATACAATAAATGTTTAAATGAATAAACGGCAAAAGGCAGAGGCATACAGGGTAATAACTGGCTTAACAAGGCAGCATGAGATCCGATTTATAAGGTTTGGCAGACCTAAACTGGTGGTTATGAAAATTATATGTAACCTCTGGGCAAAATAAACAGATTTTTAAGCTATTAGAAAGTGAATGCCTTTCCACTGAAGCCATACTGCCAAAGGGTTTCAATTTTCTGTTCAGCTTATGTCAGCTCAACTGTTTCTTCCCAAATAAGATTACATGCACACAATTACCTGATTTATCTATAATTGCATCTATTTCTTCAACGACATCAAAATAGGCTTCATTGTTTGTGTACTTTACCCCTGCCCGTCGCCATGGGATGTTGGACAGCTGCCCAGTGGGGAGTGTGTCCCCAACATTACTGCTGCCTAGAAACCGGAAAAGGAGAAAGCAAAGGTGATGCATTAAATGGTCATCAGAAAAGCTATTTACAAGGGCACCTGGCTGGCTCAGTTGGTAGAGTGTGCGACTCTTGACCTTGGGGTTGTGAGTTCAAGTTCCAAGTTGGGTGTACAGCTAACTTGAAAGGAAGAAAGAAAGAAAGAAAGGAGAGAAAGAAAGAAAAGAGAAAAAAAGAAAGAAAGAGAGAGAAAGAAAAAGAGAGAAAGAGAGAAAGAGAAAGAAAGAAAGAAAGAAAGAAAGAAAGAAAGAAAGAAAGAAAGAAAGAAAGAAGCTATTAACCAGCAAAACAAAACAAAACCAAAAACCAAAAAAAGAATGCTTTATTTGCTTCTTTACTGTTTGGGTTTTACTTCATTGAAGTATGTGAAGAACCACTTGTGGATGGTTTCCAGAATTGTCGGAGATATATTCATACCAACATGATCAAATTTCTAGAAGACAGAAGTAGACCATGTGGTCCTCTATGTGCCAAACCAGGTTAAATTCACTTACTTATCTTTTGCTTTCTGCATGTTAACAGTAACCTAACCTGATTCCAGTGGCTCAACAACAGAATCTCATCCTGCTGCCACTGATGAAGAAAAGAGGCTAGTTGTTTTAAAATCTTCTGCTGATAAAATGTCTCCACTGAGAATACAAAGTGATTAGTAGGCCCTTTGGTATTCAGCTTAAATTCTACATGAGATGCTGCCAAGCAGACCTCAGTGGAGTAACTGGATGAAGAACACACTCTAGCCTTCTCCCATTTTAAGGTCAGACACCCATATGGCTGCAATATCGCTCATGTTTAATGTCTGGCTTTTTTACTGATAAGCTGACATATGTCTGAAGAAAGTCTGGTTGTCCAAAACATATCCTTGAGCTGTGACATATTTAACATTTTGGTTAATTTACATTTCCAACATACAAGTAGTACATGCTTAATAACAACAACAACACATGTGAAGTTCAGAAAAGTGGCGAAAAATATCTATCTTCCTTTTACTAAAATACAACTACCATTAACATTTTGGTATATTTCTTTAAACATTTCCCTCATAAGTAGGTTCCACTTATTATTATTATTTTTTTGTATTTTGATAATTTTGCTTTTTTTACATATAATTTTACAGTCTCATTTGATTGGTGTTAGTGTCTCCAACCTTTTGCCTTCCAAAATTTTTGAAAAACACTGCCTTAATCTTCCTGTTCAAAACTTTCAATGTTTCCACACTGGCTTTGTGGGAAAAAAAAAAAACACCAAAAAACCCCCCAAAACAAATTTAGCCTAGCATTCAAGAATTTCCTCAACTTAACTTTTTAATTTTATCTCTCACGACTCAGCTAAAAAACAGCTCTGCTTCTGCTAAACAAATTAATACAATTCAAGGCTTTTCACTTTGTGTGTGTTTTCTCATATCGTTCCATCTATAGAATGCTCTTATTCCTCCCTCTCTCCCTAAATTCTGTTGCTTCTCTAGGGCTCTGCCCTAGGGCCAACCAGTATAATTCAGAAGGAATTATTTCATCCACTGAACCATTCTCTTGAATTTTATAAAGCACTGCCTTAATAGCCTATATACTGTCATTCTATTATTTTAGTAATTATAAAATACATGTTCATTTTGGAAATTAGAAAGTGTAAGGCAAAAATAAAGATAGTATGTAGTTCCTTAGTTGGAGATGGTTGTTGAAAACATTTTAGAGCTTTTTTGTCTGTATGAATGTTTATGTATAATTAAGATAATTAAATAATTTTTATGGTTTTGTGTTTATTTTTCCATTTAATATTATATCATGTGTACCTTCCAGTGTCACTGCATTATCTATAAAGTATGGAATTGCCTTTTACAATCTTACTATTATTTATGTACTTTATTTTTTTTTTCCCAATCTCTCATCCAGAGTTTAAATTTTAGGCACACAGACACTCCATCTTATCTTTCCTTGAATTTCTCCTAACACTCAGCCTTGTATAGAGGATGAATAAAGCTTTCTTGCAAGCCTCCCTTGCCCCATTTTTTAGGTCAGTATATTTGGAGAGGGGTTTATAATGGTAGACATTATAGCTGGTGTGGCATGTAACATTTCACAGAAATCTTTCTCTAGAAGACTTCAAAGCTCTCAAAAAAAAAAAAAAAAAAAAAAAAAAAAAAAAAAAAGCCATCATCTGGATGTACCTAATTTCTAGCTACACTCAAGAAATAAACCAAAATTAGAAACTTACAAAACAAGTACAAGGCCCACATTGCATGAGATCTCACAAATAGACTAATTTCCTATCTTTTTGTTTTAATAAATCTTCTGCATGTATAAAACAAAGACTTGGAGGAGACAATATGTACTCTGTGGTGAGGATCTTAAATTTTCTATAGTCTAGTAATTTGGGTTTTATATATTTTATATATAACATAATGCCAGTTTTATAATGCTATTTTTGCCAGCTTTTGAGATACAATTGACATATAATATTAAGTTTAAGTGTATAACATGATTTGATATACTTATACACTACAAAATGACTCTGAGTATAGTATTAGTTTATATATTCATCACATCACATAAAATAATGCTATTTTAAATACTACAATGCCAGTCTATACATAGACTGAATGCTCTTCTACGTAGCCTTCCCTTTTCTATTGGCTTCTTTAGGATTAACTGGGAAGTTATTCAGTCTTATTATTTAGTGTTAAGTAATAGTAATAATGTTATTGTGGTCTTATAGAAAAATCTATAATAAAAGAATAAAAACCAAAAGTTTTCTTTTTCATTTAAGACCTAGCATCTTCCCATGAAAAGAAATACACATCCATTTTCACAACAGCACTAACTTTAACTCTGGGCAAGCTGTACTACCTTAATAATCTGTCAGATCATAAACAAGATTATAAACAACTTGTTTATAAAGTTTTATTTGCTCAGTTCCTACGTTTTCACCTTACCTGTAATAGAGTTGACGACAGAACGTAGAATTGTTGGTGGTTTAATCAGTTCTTTCAAAATATTAGATTCAGTAGCCAGTGGAAATCCATTGTCTAACATTTCTTCCAAAAGCTCATATACAATGACCACATTATCCTTAATTGCAGCTTCCGAACACTCACCAAAGTAGTCCTTAACAAAATGTACATAATATTGCACAATGGAAGACATGAAGAAAGGCTTGCTAGACACTCTTTATTCAGCAGGATAAACTTTTAGTAGCATAATTCATTGTTTATTTGTTGAAAATAGATAAATCAGAAGGAAAAAAACCCTTTGTAGTTCTCTACATTATTCTTGAATAATTTTCTTAATATTTTTAGATTGAACTGAATTCCTATTACATATTAAGCCAGAGAGTACACTGAAACATTAAACTAGAATGTGAACTATAAACTTCACTTGCCTACCTCCAAAACACAGATAAGTTTTCAATTATTTGGTACATTTAGCAAGATAATAAAATGTAAATATTAGAAGACTGCATAACCAATAAAAATCTTGGGACCATTCAGAGAACTATATGTAGAGGGCATTACTGTTTCCTGATGACATAATTTGTAATACATATAAAAAATAACCTTCTTAAGTGATATTGTTTTTTGGGGGTGCCTGGGTGGCTTCCATGACCATGAGATTACTGTGTTCTACTGAAACAATGAATACAACAGCCATGTATACTGCTACACACCCTACAAAAAAGGGTTTATGAATTTATTCTTAGTTGAAAAGCAGAGAGAGAGATAGAATACACATACAAAGCTGGATAATTAAAGAATATCATCATGTGTCCTACCCCTAACTTGAGTAATTTAAGTTCAAAAGATTTGATGAATAACCAACCTGAAAAGTGTCAGCAACTCGATGTAGAAACTCAATTACAAATAGAGGTGGCACTTCAGTCTGTATGACAGACACAAAGAAGAGCTTATCCCGGTAGATACTGATGAGGTAGTGATGAGGTGTTGAAATGACAGGTGGTACATTTTCTACATCAGCAGCTTTCTCTTGAGCTTCAAAGAAATAATCACAGACAGACTGGCTCACAACACTCTTCCAGTGCTTCTCTAGAAATATGTCACCGGAACAGTTTATGAGAAATAGACTGTGAATCATTTTCTGGAGGGAAAAAAGTTTAAACAATTTAGTGTACATCAAAAAGTACCCTTGTATTATCCTGACAAAACCAGACAAAGGCAATACAAGAAAATACAGACCAATATCACTTAAGAATAGCTGTAAAAATCCTCAACAAAATGCTAGCAAATTGAATCTAGCAATATATACAGAAGATTATACACCTCGGCCAATAGGATTTATTCCAAGAATGGAAGATTGGTTCAACATATGAAAATCAATGTAACACACAACATACATAAAATAAAAGACAATAAAACCATATAATCATTTCAAAACGTGCAGGAAAATAATTTGACAAAATCTAGCACCTGTTTATAATAAAAACACTTAAAATAGAAAAAGAAACTTCCTAACATTGATGGGGCATCTATGAAAATCCCATAGCTAACATTATATTTAATGATTACAGATTAAAAGCTTTTTCCTTAATATCAAGAATAAACAATGATGTCCACTCTCACCATTTTTTTAAAATATATTTTTTAATGTTTTTATTTTTGAGACAGAGAGAGACAGAGCATGAGCAGGGGAGGGGCAGAGAGAGAGGGAGACATAGAATCCAAAGCAGGCTCCAGGCTCTGAGCTGTCAGCACAGAGCCCGACGCGGGGCTCGAACTCACGGACCGTGTGAGATCATGACCTGAGCTGAAGTCGGATGCTTAACTGACTGAGCCACCCAGGTGCCCCAACTCTCACCATTTTTATTCAGTATGGTACTGGAGATTCTAGCCAGGGCAATTAGAAAAATGAAACCAAAGGCTTCCAAAGTGGAAAGGAAGAAAAAAACTACCTCTATTTGCAGATGACACAATTTTTATATATGTAAAGTCCTAAGGAACACAGACGTACACACACACAAAATCATAGTGAGTTCGGCAAGCTCGCAGAATACAAGATTAATATAAAAAATTATATTTCCTTTTTATTAAAAAATTTTTTTTAATGTTTATTTATTTTTGAGAGAGACAGACAGAGTGCGAGCAGGGGAGGGGCAGAGAGAGAGAGCAAGACAGGCTCCAGGCCTGAGTTGTCAGCACAGAGCCTGATGTGGGGCTCGAACTCACAAACCATGAGATCATGACCTGAGCCAAAGTCGGACGCTTTAACCAACTGAGCCACCCAGGCACCCCTAAAAAACAATTCTATTTCTACACATTAGCATTGAATAACCTGAAAATGAAATTGAGAAAACAATCCATTTACAAGAGCATCAAGAAGATCAAAATACTTAGGACTAAATTTAACAAAAGTGCAAGACTTGTACATTGAATAGTACAGAACATCACTGAAAGAAATTAGAAATTAAAAATATCTAAAACTTGGGAAGGTATTTCATGTTCATGGATTAGAAAACTTAATATTGTTTTATTTTTTTTAAATTTATTTTTTTTTTTTCAATGTTTATTTATTTTTGGGACAGAGAGAGACAGAGCATGAACGGGGGAGGGGCAGAGAGAGAGGGAGATACAGAATCGGAAACAGGCTCCAGGCTCTGAGCCATCAGCCCAGAGCCCGACACGGGGCTCGAACTCACGGACCGCGAGATCGTGACCCGGCTGAAGTCGGACGCTTAACCGACTGCGCCACCCAGGCGCCCCGAAAACTTAATATTGTTAAGATAGCAATACTCGCCAAATTGGCCTAAGATTCAAAGCAATCCCTACTATAATGCCAGCTGTCTTTTTTGTGGGTACTGACAGGATCATCCTAAAATCCATACAGAAATGAACAGAGATAAGGATAGCCAAAACAATCTTGAAAAAGAAGAATTTGGAGGACTCACACTTCCTGATTTTAAAAACCTACTACAAATGTACCATGTGGTACTGGCAAAGGGATAGACATATAGATCAATGGAATAGAACTGAGAGTTCTGAAATTAACCCTTACATATACAGTCAATTGATTTCTGATAAGAATGCCAAAACCATTCACTGGGAGAGAGATGAGTGATTTCAACAAATGGTGCTGGGACAACTAGATTTCCACATGCAAAAGAATGAATATGGACCTCTACCTCATGTCATATACAAAAATCAACTCAAAATGTATCAAAGACCTAAATCTAAGAGCTAAAACTATTAAAAACTCTTAGAAAAAACCATATATGCATTAAGTTGTCAGTACCCTGGGTTAGATAATTTTTTTAGATATGACACCAAAAGCACAAGCAACAAAAGAAAAAACAGATAATCTGGACTTATATCAGAATTAAAAATTTTTGTACTTTGAAGGACATTATCAAGAAAGTAAAAAGAGAACTCACAGAATGAGAGAATAATTGCAAACCATATATTTTATAAGGGACTACTATCCAGAATATATAAACACTTAACAACTCAATAATAAAAGGACAACACAATAAAAAAAATGGGTAAAGAATTTGAAGACATTACTCCAAAGAAGACAGACATACAAATGACAAATAAGCGGAGGTAAATGTGCTCAACGCCTTCTCAGAATGTAAATCAAAATCACAATGAGGTATTATTTCATATCCATTAGACTAGATATAATCAAAATGCAGACAATAACAAGTATTGACAAGAAAGTGGAGAAACTGGAACCCTCATCAATTGCTGATAGGGATTTAAAATGGTATAGTTGCTGTGGAAAACAGTGTGAATTCTTGCAAAAGTTAAAGACAGAGTTATCAAATGACTCAGAAATTCTACTCTTAGGTATACAACCAAGAAAACTAGTAATGGATGTCCATATAAAAATTTGCATACAAATGTTCCTAGCAGCATTATTCATAATATTCAAAAAGTAGAGACAACTCAAATGTCTATCAACTGATGAATGGGTAAATAACAAATTTTCAAACAATGGAATATTATTCAACCATAAAAAGGAATGAAGTAATACATGCTATTAAATGGCTGAACCATGAAAACATTATGCTTAGAAGCCAGACACAAAGGTCACATATTGTATGATTCCATTTGTATAAAATGTCCAGAATAGGCAAATCTACACAGACAGAAAGTAGATTAGTGGTTGGCAGAGGCTGGGTGTAAGGGGAAGAATGTGGAGTTAGTGGTTATGGGCTTCTCATGTCTTCTTAAGGTGATAAAAACCATCTGGGATTAGAGATAATGATTGTACAGCTTTGTGAATATACTAAAACCTACTAACTTGTATACTTTAAAATGTGAATTTTATAGTATGTGAATTATATTTTATTTAAAAAATATTCTTAATAACTGTGACACACAAATCTACTTCCAGGTAGATTAAAATGTGTACAAATGTGCACCCAAAATATGTATAAAAATATATTGTTATGGTGAAAACCTGCAACAACTCAAATGTTTATTAATAGTGGAATGGAAAAATAAATTACACAATATTACTGAAATGAAAAATTGCACAGCAATGAAAATTAACTTGTTACACGAAGCAAATCTTAAATCTGTTTGTAAGATTTGTTTATTGAACAAAGCCAGAAGCAAAAGGATACATACAGTATGATTCTATTTATGTGAAGTTCTAGAACAGACCAAATTAATCTATGGTTTGATAAAAATGCTTTTATAGAGGAGAGTGAGGGTAGTGTCTAAGAGGAGCGTGGGGGTGGTTTAGGGCACTTGTAACATTTTATTTTTTGATATAGTTACAAGTTGTATTCATTTTGTGATAATTCATTGGGCTTTATATTATGACATATAATTTTCTGAGTGTTAATTATGCTTCAAATAAAAACTTTATTATCCTTGCAAATGGGGGATGGTGGAAAAATATCTAATTACCTTAACGTGTTCCCTTCTTTTATATGGATAACATCAGTTATCAGGTGTTTAGTCTGGTGGTCCATTAATTCAAAATTATACTACTGTAGAAGTGTAGCCCAACTGTAAAAAATTTAAAATGAATAGTTTCTCTGCATGAAGATAAATCCCAAAGAGGAAAGGAAAACTTTCCAGAATGGATGCATTCATTCAATTCTGTTGACACAGAAAACAATGACATAAACCTGAGCAGTTCTTTTAAGATTAAGTAATTTATTTTATGAAAGCATCTGACATTTAAGGACTAATTGGTGATGATTTCCCCTTCCCGTCTGGCACATGTTTAGAAGTTTTTAAGTAAATTACTAATTACTAAGATGTGTTTTAATAATTACTGTATTAATTATTATGCATAAAATAAATGCTGTTAACAGTTCCTGTATTAGAAACAAATACGTTTCTTTGTTCAAAGCCATCTCTACTTAGCAAGCAACCAACAGGACAATAAACCCTGACACTTCAGGCATTGGATCTACTAAATTTTTCTAGATTAATACTGCAACCTGCTCATTTTTCTACTTTATCTAATCAGATGCTTTGTTTAATAGGTTTGCTTAATGTCAGCTTTATATTTCTATTTGGGTGTTAAATAGTGTCATTAGGGGCACCTGGGTGGCTCAGTCGGTTAAGCATCTGACTCATCGTTTTGGCTCAGGTCATAATCTCATGGTTTGTGAGTTCGAGCCCCATGTTGGGCTCTGCACTGACTGAAGCCTGCTTGGGATTCTCTCTCTCTGCCCCTCACCTGTTCCCACTCTTTCACTCAAAACAAATAAACTTAAAAAAAAAAAAATTAGTGTCATTGGAATACAGACTTGCTATATAGAACCTACTAACTTTTAACTATCATCTGGGCTAATACACTTAAAAAAAAAACAAACAGGAATATCCAATGAGAAGATCTGCAACTAAACTTGTATTATGATACATTTCTTGTAATAAAATCCTCATCTGAAATATAAAATGTAGCTTAAAGGAGAACACTGTAATTCCCTCAATGAAGACTCCAATTTGAGCACTTCAACCGAGCCAACTTTGGAAGATGGTACCCTTTGCAAAACTAAATTTTCAGCTCCAGAGTGTTCTATTCATTAAGGGTAAATAAATTAATAATACCTAAAATGTATTCAGTTACTAACTGTGGGCCAGGCACTATGCTAGGCACTTATCTACATTATCTCACTG